TCAGGGTCGAAGAATAAGCAGAAAGCCATGATGGGGCCCACGTAAAATTACTGTTGTCAGATTTTAAGAATGGGATTTGCTGACAAATTTTGGTTAAATTTTACAGTATCAGATTTGTTGAAAATGTATCCAGCTCTTCCTATTTCTTACACTCAGATCTGGTGAAGTTGTGAGTGCACTCTCCATCACAGTACTTCTCACAGTTCGCTTGAACATACCGTATGGGCTACAGCTCAGTTTGGTCACTCATTTTCTGTGCATCTTGGATCATAGTTTGTAAACCATTGCAAATTGTATGATTCGAGATGTATCACGGTCTCCCCTACTGATATTTATTTCTTGCAGAGTGAAAGTTCGAAAAAATATTTCTTTAATTAATTCAGTTAAGACGTAGCTAAGATCTTATTCAGGAGAAAATTTAGGGGGGATTGAATTCAGGTAATAATTGCTACCATTCAGCCCAGAACCTTTCGTCTTCCCGTCTGCTGTCTAAAACATAAAAATTACATTACATAAAACTATAATTTTGCCTTTGGATGTGCATGGGTGTGAAATGTTATATCTGACATTAAAGGAGGAATACAGACTGAGGGTGTCTGAGAACAGGGTGCTGAGGAGAATATTTGGACCGAAGAGGGATGAAATAGTAAGAGGCTGGAGAAAACTGCATAATGAGGAGCTTCATAACTTGTACTCTTCTCCAAGTATAATTAGAATGATCAAGTCAAGGAGGATGAGAAGGACAGGGCATGTAGCACGCATGGGGAGAAGAGGAATACATGTAAGATTTCGGTGGGAAACGCAGAAGGAAAGAGACCACTAAGTAGACCAAGACGAAAGTGGGAAGATAATAATAAAATTAATCTTGGAGGGATAAGATGGGGTGGTATGGACTGGATTTATCTGGCTCAGGATAGGGACCAGTGGAGGGCTCCTCTGGACACGGTATAACATTTTGGGAAATTTTTGAGTAGCAGGACAACCGACGGCTTCTCAAGAAGGGCTCAGCTCCATGACGTAACTGAGCTAATAGATATATTTCTGTTACTTTTCTTTACGAACGCTCTCCAAAAATAATACGCACAAACATTAATTGTCCTTGCGAGATTCGAAACATTCTCCCTTAGTGTTCGAATGGTATGCATGAGACGTTTCAGTAAGGACGCGCAAACAAAGGGGCGGAGTAAAAACACCCCCTGTGGCCCGCATCGTTAACGTGAGTCAGTGTAAAAGCATGAACTCACCGATCAGTTAGGTCTTGTACTTTTTGTTGTATCAATCCAAGTTGATAAATGAAGCATTCGCTTTTTCTTTACTCCTCGGGGACCAGAACTTTAGAGTAATGTGACATTGTCATGCAAGGCGGATTGAGATGTGCGTAGCATCAAAATTTAATTATTATTTAAAGGTTTATGGGTACACAAGCCACATGCTAATGGCTGCGGCTCTATAAGATCTGGAGAACATGTTGATGGCTCAATAAAACATAATTGGGCGTTGTTGGTGTAAGCAGCGCCACAACATACAGACGGCAGGACTACACACTACAGCACGTTGCTAGTGCCGAAAATTGCCACGAGTGAAATCTGGCAAAGGCTCAGGCGAGACCGTCGCGATGCTCCAGTGAAGATACTCATGAAAACCTCTTAAAATATGTAAGATTTGAGGTTTTAGCGGCGGTTAACGTGAAGAATGCCGTCTTCTTGGATGTGGTGCCGTGTAGATAATGTTAACCGACGTTTCGGAGGCGATACGTTCCTTCGAAACGTCGGTTAATACAATATCTACACGGCGCCATATCGCAGAAGACGACATTCCTCTCAAAATATAATGGTGATAAAACTGACACCTCTTTCCTCTAGACTCGAAACTCCATCGTTCGATTCCCGAGTTCAGATCCAACTAGTGCCATGAATGTCACTCAGCACATTTCCAATTTGCACGTGGAAGTATAAGTCAGAAAATGGCTTAAGACCTCATATGCCGTATTACACGTGACATTAGTGGTCTCAGCGTTAACTTATTGTAGATATAAATCTACTGTCGAAAATTTAATGAACACCAATTTTAAGACTCTAGATACCAAAAGGAGGCTTTTAAATCTGTGGGGGCCCGTCTTGCTGATGGTAGGACGTGAGGCCTCGAAAACATTAAATATTAATTTTGGTACAGAGAAGTCACTTACACAGCAATATTCCCGAATTCTAAATAACGGTTTCTCAAGGATGATGCATTACAATCGAATTTCTACTAGGGTAGGACAACTGTAAGCCTGTAAGGAATTACAGAAATATAATATTTAGAAAATTCTTACTATCCTTAAATTTTTCAGAATTTACATAAAACATTTAAAGGCCAATGGTCACTATATGTATCACCGCCTTTAACACACCAAACCTTTGCATTCTCGCCACAGAGCGTGTTTGTGTGTTTCATATGGTTCTCATAAAAAAAAATAGCGACTCTTTCCCTAAACAGCAATAACCGGTTTGTCTTTATAGTGGAGACGTCATGTGTTTCCCGTGAGGTACGAACTGAATACTTATATATTATTCAGAAGTAATTCAATCTTCAAAGGGCTAAAGGGCTATGAATATATACGGTTGGAAGAAATTCGCAAAACAGTAAATATTCCAAAAATTGTTTCTTGTTACTTTGCCTATTATACGAAGCGTAAAAATGCTTCAAACCAAAGTCATTGATGTTATTTGAATAAACATGTCACATTCCATTAAAGAGTTAAAAAAATAGGCAGAAACTGATCTGATCTTGTTAAGTAGGTTTGACATTACACTCTTACAGAACAAACAAAAAAAAATTGTGCAATGCCTAACGTAGAAAACAATTCTAAATATAATTTCATCTCCCCATTTAGACTACTATATGATCTGCCCCTATCTGCCACTTTGATTTCATAAACCAGCGTTAACTTACAAATTTAGTTGGAAAATTAATATCATTATGAATAAAATACCTTTATTCTATACTTTGCGCAGGCGTCCAAGCCTTTGTCATGCAAGCAATATCAGAATTTTTTCAAAGAAGGGTTGGGAACAGCCCCGAAATACACTGACAAGTTAATGTTTAAGCTGCTTATATTTCAGCTGGTCGCTCTGGATTATTTGGGGGGAAGAATAATTTCTTAAAATAATTTTATTCCTCTATTTTGATTGACATTTTGCATTACTTCCTTAGTTTATTAATTTTTTTATGTTCTCTTTCACAAAAACCCAAAGAAGGGGCCAGCTACCTGGCTCCCTCCCCCTTCACGGCGGCCAATGCTTTGGTCCTTAATTTTATTTTAATATTTATTTGAACAACCGACAAAACTTCCTGTATAAACAACAAAAACCTTGTAAGACTCTCATTTCTCAGGACAAAACATACAAATGCGGGTATGTACATATTCCGGGCATAACTGCGATCCGAACTCGAGTTTCTGATATACGAGAAGCCTTAGGTAGGCCGTACACTGGCATGCGTCAAGATATGTAACAGTCAAGACACAATGACGCAAAGAAAGGAGCACAGTTGAAACGAATGAGATTATGAAAACCTGCGCACACCGGTCTGAGTCAACATGCTGACGAATCACGAATGAAGCAAGACTGCGTATTTTGTCTCATGTCTTGATGCTTGTCTTGACGCAGTTGGTTTGCGGCCGCCCTTAGACCGATAGACTACTGGGACCAGCAAAACAAACGTCCGAATATATTGGGCACTGAATGATTAGTAAGCCGGTCACGGTAGCCGAGCGGTCTAAGGCATGTACTGTCTTCGCTCGCTCGGAAACTGGGATCGTGGGCTTGAATCCCACTCAGGGCATGGATGTTTAGTTTGTGTGTGTGTGCGTTTTAGTGTGTTTGTGTACAGGTAGAGGCCTTGCGACGAGCTGATCACCCGCCCAAGGAGTCCTACCGAATGTGTAAGCTCTAGAAAAAAACCGAAGTGAACGGAGAAGTTCATGGAGGTAGGCCTAGGCCCACTGGGGCTATAGTGCCAAGGAAAAAAAAGGGGGGGGGGAAGAATAATCAGTAAGTCTGCAATCGATTTCATCTAGAAAGTATCTGTCAAAATCTGCCTGTAATAGAACCTTAATATTTCCTAGAGTCCATCACAATCAATCAGCGGAGTACAGTAAACATTCTACATATATACAGAAGTTAATAGCGTGAGGGGATGTCAGAAGGTGAGAGCAGATACCGCAAATCTCTTCTCGCCGGCTAAATTGGACGGAACGAGAGCTCGTCAGGTGAGCGGTCCATTAATCATTGTTTGATGGGAGCTTCTATCTGTCAGTGGAACATGATGTCTACATGCCTGGCTGGGAGGGAGCATCGCATTCAATAAACAGGCGTATATACAGGGTGATTCTACATTATTGTCGGGGTTTCCGTGGCCTATATGAAAGTGTAACTCAGAACCTTCTATTACGTTTAAAGTCAATACTGCAGAATGACAAACAACTTCAACACACGCGCCTTTCTTGGCACATAAGGTCTGAAAATTAGATACAATGGAAACACGGACAGTAATTTAGGATCACCCTGTATATAGAACTCAGAATTTACATGCTTGTTTCTGATATTTTAGTTCAACATTACGTAGACATGGGTTCTTAGTAATTAATTATTAGACTGTACATATACAAGTCTTCTTATGTGCTGTTCGAGAATCAGAGATCTTAAAAGCCAAACATAAGAAAACTCATTCCTGAAATATTACGCTTCCGCAAATAAAAAATATTTTTTGAATTCTGGGATCTCACGACGGCGTTTCCTGGGTTGTAATGCCATGTAGTTTTGAAAGATTCAGGGATTTCGGAGCAAGTTATTGCCTCCATCTTCAGGGTAGGATATACAAGCCAGAAATGAACAGAAGCAGGAGGTAGGTGTTGGTTGGCTGTGGTAGATAACGGAGGTTCTGTGAGGCAGAAGACAGCTACGACAACTGCAAAATGCTGAAATGTATCGGATTTGGAAAGGTGTGAGGGCACATACCTGTAGGAACATTTCGCCGTCCAGCAGCGTGTGATCGTACGTCGTGAGATCTCTGTTCCTGAACTGTGCTTCGTGGTGGAGCCCGTCCTCCTTGTCCTTGTGCATCACCACTGCAACACACATCAACATCATCACATAACTGTAACAGAACATGTATGGGTTTTTTTATTAACACTTTAAATAAAAAAACAAGGAACATAAAAAGCTGAAATTTGGAACATGTACTTTGGGAAAACCGAGGGTGTGCACCTCTGGCACATGTTTTCATTATTACGTCCCATATGTTCACGGGCTGCAATGAAGAGATGTAGATATAAGCGATATTCCAATGTGGAATGAAAAATTCCGCCAGCAACAGCAACAATCAGATGCAGTATTTGTAGAAGGTAAATTTGTCCCTGGTCGATCACAGTGGCCGCGAACTGTCTTCACCCACTCGAACACTTGGATCGTGGGTTCGAATCCGTCATGGATGTCTGTGTGCTTTTATTCTGCGATTATGTTGTTCTTTGTGTGGGTAGTGGCCTTGCGACGCGCTGATCCCCCGTCCAAGGCGTCTTGCCGTCTGTTAAAAGATCAAGAAACTGAGAAAGTGGCCAAGGTCCAACAGAAGGGCTGTAGAGCTTAACTAATTAAACACCACGCCATAATGATGTATGGGGAGAGGATGTATAGATCCACATATTCATCACCTCGGCATTGGTTGGAGGTGAGTGGTAAGCTTCCTGCCCCGGCCGCTTTACTCCCGGGTAAAGAGCCACCGGTACTCATTGGATAGGGGGCTAGGTGGGCCCCAGAGCCGGTATAAATAAAGTAGAGAGAAGAAAAATCTTGCTCCTAAGGGAACTCGAACACCGACCCCTCGGTCGTCTAGTCCGTAGCCCGTACGAACCCTAGTTTTAACACTAAGAAATGTGGATCTGTTTGTGAGGTTATGTTATCTTGTGTTCAAGGTGTAAGCCTAATGCAAATACACTGTCGCAGATTTTCTTGAACAAACCTTCGCTGTCTCGAATTACACGACTTGCAGTTGCACGTCTTCAGGAATCTGACGAACTTGCCAAGAAATGTCCATGTAAGTTTGCCGTTTTGGTGTTCTGAGTTCAATCAAACCGGTAGCCTAACCCAAGTCAAGACGTGTGGGATTTCTGATGAACAAAGTGGCACTGTGGAAGGTTTTCTCCTAGTACTTCGATTTCCCCTGCCAAATCTCATTTCATTTACTGCTCCAAGACGTAGCTGGGTGGATAATATTAAAATGGTTCTTAGAGGGATGCTACAGGGTGTTATGGACTGGATTGATCTGGCTCAGTATAGGAATACGGTTGCACAAAATATTAGGAAATTCTTGAGTAGCTGAGCGACTGGCGGCTTCTCAACTAGGACTCAGCTCCATAGTTAGTTATTCATTGATCATCCTGTCACGGACGCCGTGTAGTCTGATCCGCTGACATAGTGTTCTAATATGTTGGGTGTCCATCTACCAGACAACACGAAGTCATAATCTAGAATACCGCAATTTGAATTTTAACCGCCTTGTAATCTAAAAAACTTAGAATAGATTTTCATGTTACCGTGTTGAATGTGTTCAGATTGTTGCCCTGTAATTTGACACTGCGTAGTTCAATATTTCGATCTTAGACCCTGAAGATGGAGGCAACAAATTCAACCGAAACGTTAGTACCCACCTTCAAGATTACACTGAGACAAACATACTAATTGATATTTTGGTGTGAGAGCAGATATTTTTCAGTTGGTATAACGATCAAGCTAAGGACTGGATGACTGAGGAGTCAAGGTTCGATTCACAGTAAGGGTAAGAGATTTTTCTTTGCTCCAAACCGTCCAGACGGGCTCTGGGGCCCACGCACTCTGTCCAATGTTTACCGGGGGTGTGGGGGTTGCTTTCCCCGCGAGTAAAGCGGCTGGGACGTGAAGCTTACCACGCACCGCCACTTACTGTCGAGGTCAAGAATGGTTGAGCTAAACCTCCACTTCCGATAAGTCTTCACCACGTGGTGCTTAATTAATTAAACCTAGAGGAAACTGTGCCCGTACCTTCAAAGATTAAAACAGTGGTCGACTGAAATCCCTACTCTTTACCTGAAGAAGATAAGAGGAAAGGCACGTGGATACCTGTTGAAAGAGTTCTGAACACGTGACAAGGCAAGTGCACCATTTCGGTAGAGGATTACAAAGTCTAAAGCAGACAGCGATGTTCTATAGCACCTGCCAATTTGAGGATAGTCTTAAACGATTCAATGGACATCTTAATTGGTTTATTATAGGGAGAAGCTCAGCTTGTTCTGGCATTGTCACCCTTACTCAGCACTTTTACAAACGTTTACATGCTTGCCTTCACAACTGATATTAATTAACCCGACTTGGCAGGTGCTCGGTCAGTGGGTCGACAAGGGGTTACAAAAGAAATGGACCTTATATGGTCTTCATGCCTGCACTTTTATGGTTTATTATTGGGTACATTATTCGACCCTGAAAATGGAAGTGGTATGTTCATGCGAAACTTCGAGTTATGTCCGAACAACACAGCATCACAAACCAGAAGATCGTACTCTTCACAGTCAAAACCGTGAGGGCTTGAATTCCGAGTAGATTATGCAGTATCGCCTTTTTAAATGTGTTAAAATATATTGTAATATTTTAGTGACTATACATGGGGTTTAGATTGTAATTGGATTTACTATATAGTTATAACTACCAACCACAGGTAATTATAAAGCTGTCGCTAACCTACCCACTCTACAATTCACTAGAGCATACGCTGATTTTTCTCAGTTCGTCTTAACTAGCCGTTGCTAGGTTACGGCTCAGATTCCGTGATCAGCGGCTCCTGTCCTAGCTGGCTGGCGAATGTCTCCAAATTAACCCATGGTTCCAACTCCCTCACATTCTTCTCTCACTAAAAGTCAGAGTCAAAGTCAAAGTTATGTTACCCCCGACTGTCAGTCAGCCAGTCTGTCTTTGTGTCAAGCACCCAGTTGGAGCCCAAAATCGGATTTGTTTTACTGTCAGATAGTTGCGGTTTGCTGAAGTGGAACGCCCTCTCTGACGAGAGGGAGGATCTGTCTTTTACAATTGATGCTTGTCTTCGCCTGCGCAGTCATTCTCGAGTCTGAGTCCAAGAGGGGGGGGGTCTCATGACCCCATTTTACTGTCTCAGATTCGAGACTCCCCCAACCTGGAGGGCCAGGTACCCGTATTTATATTCCCCAAGAAGAGGGTGGCTCAATTATAGCCCCCAGGCACAGGGTTCCCTTTCCGTCGCCTCTTACGACTCACAGGGCTACGGTGGAGGTATTCGAACCCCGCCTCCATGTGGGAGTCCTTCATCAATAAAAAGTCAAATTCAAAATCAAAGTTACTTTACCACTGGCGGTTTACCGCCAGTCAGTCTTGGGGTCAAGCCCCTGGAGACCCCTCGACCAGAGATTCCTTTTTTTCAACTGAATCCTTGCGGTCATAGTCCTCATTTAACATCCTCTCTGACGATAAGATGGGTTTGTCTCTTATGAACAGGCTTCGCCTTTCGTCAAGTGTACGTATCGTACATATAGTGTGTTATTGAAAATTTGTCCTTGTGTACTATATACAAGACCTCTGTCAGTCCATGCTTTACAAAGCAGATCATGCTTTTCTTACTTATCTTATGCTACAACGGCAGCTTAGTTACTTAAACGGTAGTAAGTTTGACCACCGCTAAGTTTAAGCCTCATATATTTTCTATGTCTGGTTTCACCTTGTCCTATACGGCGAACACGTTCGTTACCATGCTTTTGTTTGACTTCTGCTTATTGCCTGCACAATTTTGTTAATATCTAATCTAATCTAATCTAATCTAATCTAATCGTATACATATAGAAGGTTGAAAGCTGTGTACAAATCGCGGACCGGTGCGCATCTTGGAGAATTTACAATGGTGCGCAGAACCTTTCTTTACATGCTCTACTTGCCACGTACTTTCACGCTGGTATCTTGTTTGATCTTCGTCGCTGAAGATGGATATGTCGCTTGTCTTTCAAAGGATTGCACGGCGCTATATCCAAGAAGAGAGAACTCTTCATAACCACCGCTGTGAGAACCTCAGATCCTACACGGCGCTATATCCCAGAAGATAGAACTCTTCATAGCCACCGCTGTGAGAACCTCAGATCCTACACGGCGCTATATCCCAGAAGATAGAACTCTTCATAGCCACCGCTGTGAGAACCTCAGATCCTACACGGCGCTATATCCCAGAAGACAGAGCTCTTCATAACCACCGCTGTGAGAACCTCAGATCTTACATGGCGCTATATCCCAGAAGACAGAGCTCTTCATAACCACCGCTGTGAGAACCTCAGATCCTACATAGCGCTATAGCCCAGAAGACGGATCTCTTCATAACCACCGCTGTGAGAACCTCAGATCCTACATGGCGCTATATCCCAGAAGACAGAGCTCTTCATAACCACCGCTGTGAGAACCTCAGATCCTACATGGCGCTATATCCCAGAAGACAGAGCTCTTCATAACTACTGCTGTGAGAACCTCAGGTCCTACACAGCGCTATATCCCAGAAGACAAAACTCCTCATAACCACCGCTGTGAGAACCTCAGATCCTACACAGCGCTATATCCCAGAAGACAGAACTCTTCATAACCACCACTGTGAGAACCTCAGATCCTACACAGCGCTATATCCCAGAAGACAGAGCTCTTCATAACCACCGCTGTGAGAACCTCAGATCCTACAAGTTAAATTTGCTTCTAGCTTCTTCACTGTTTGCTTTTCATGTTTTCGAGTGGGGAAATAGACGAATTATATTTCTTCACGGTATGATATACCAAAGACAGTGCTTAGCGGTGGCTACTAATTCACGTACGTCTCCTGTCAACTCCTATGAATACGAACAGGCAACTGTTGCGAATTGAAGTTGCTTGTTGTTGCCTGTGAGTGAATTAACATGAAGTCATTAACAGCATACGGCCTATAAGCACAGACAGGATCGGAGGTGGGAATGAGGAAGGGTGAGTGGAGAATCAAGCGTCATATGGGGGATGATAAAGCAGAGAGGGATGTAGCGTGTGAGAACTGAGGCATAAAATGCAC